CAATAGTTATTGTCAAAAACCGAAAGCTAAATACCCAGTGCCTAAAAACTTTTATTCGAATGGAATTCCAACATCGGACGAATAGGTAAGACCATTCATTTCAAAACTGCTTACTTAGAAAGCTATTCCCATAGTATCATTACTCACGTCACTTCAACTCCTGCTTCAACCCATTTCCAATTGGCGCCATGCAGTAATTAAGACTATCATTTATTGTTCACCCATTTCGGTATCTTTCATTCTTCACCTCATTTCTGATATGTCGATCTAATATTACTCCTGATATGCTGAAATCATCTCAGACGAGATCTTAGCCCGACCCATGATCACAGTAGTAAGTCATACTGTCATTACACGTAGAGGTACTGCCATTTGTCGCATTTCTACAACACACGCACATGGATGAGAGCATTTTCACATCAGTAATGCCCATATTCATAGATTCGCTATTCCCATACACGAACAAATAAACGTACGATACAGCATTCTCGATATCTACTCAGCGAACCACACACAAACCAATGGAGGATTCAAAATCGAAAAGAGATTCACAACAAATCCTGCGCATATGTACTTATAGCTTACAAGTGGAGGATTCAAAATCGAACAGAGATTCACAACAATTCCTGTGCATATGTACTTATAGCTTACAAGTGGAGGATTCAAAATCGAAGAGAGATCCGCAACAAATCCTTTACATATGTACTTATAATTTACAAGTGGAGTATTGGTACCGCGGTTTTAGCGGAAGAAGTTTTGTGCTTGGTAGGAATCGGAGAATGGGAAAGCAGGGGTGAACATATATTCTTTAGTGTTCGTAGAAACACAGGCTATGAGGAATACAGCAAAAGAATCTTTCACCTCGTTTGAGGTTGGATTATGTCAGACTACTAATCGAAAATTCTACGAATAGGCATGTATAAGGGGAAGTGTTCATATGGTGAATTAAATTGAATTCTACGAATTTGAATGTGATAGAATAGTCAATATCGGGTAGATATTGGCGGCAGTGCATTGCGAAGTTATGTATGCCGTGTGTATTGATTGTCACAGTGGAGGATTTGGTATGTAGACTGCCGATGCCTGTTTTTTGTATGATTGTGAGTAACTCCTGGATTTATGCAGTACTCATTGGCTCGCGTTTTTCAGTTTCAAGGGTAATGGTGATTAACATAATGTGGATTATTTGAAGCTATTTTTTGCGAAAAGCGCTCAATGGGCGAAATCACTTCGTGAGCCGTGTGACTAATAAAATGGATTTTTTAGGAATACTAACTAGTACAATATAGAGTCAATGAATACAGGGATTGTTTTTAAGACAACGTAGTTATGACCGTTTTACTGATGAGATATATCCGAGGAATGTGAGGCGTCATTGTCGGAAGGAACCGCGTATAAATTTGTAATGAAATCTCTTGGCACAAGTATTATAAAAGTCATTGACATCCTCAAAAAGATTGCGCAACATACACGGATGTATCTACCAAAAGTCGTCAGGTTTTTCCAGGAATATCGTCCCATTCTGATGCAACTTTGATGATTTGCAGAGGTTTGGGTAGTGGTAGCTTTGACGATAAAAATTTGGCAGGTAAAAATGGAAATATTTCATTTTACTAAATACGGATGACAGCAATAGAACCGCAGATAATTTTAAAAGGATGGAGCTACATTTTAGAGACAGTGTACATGAAATATAATTAAGAAAAACTAATTCATCATGTCTGGAATGTTTGCTCTGCTTGATAATAAAACCGAGGAAACGGCAGGCTAGGTGTTAGCTTTTCCTTACAATCAAAAGACTCCTGCCTACTAGACGTTAATAGGCGGAACGGAAGGTAACGGGAAAAAAGCTGATGATCTGTATCGGTTCCGTTAGTGTGTGTGTGGTTGTCCTACTTCGGAATTGGAGGAATGAATGACGCGATTCGAGGTCTTCATGATAACGTTTATTGATAACGACGAGAGAAGAAAACGACTTATGTCGATCACAGTTCAAAGACAACTACCTCTGTCTGATTTTACAAGTTCAAAGAGCGGTCAGACAGGCGGCATANAGTTTCCCCGGATACAGCGATATACTAATTTTATCGGATTTCTGAGATTTTCGAAATTCCGGCTCCGACGACCGGATCCAACATCGGATTGGTTGACCTGGGTATTAGAGATGAGCGTCTCTCGAGTCTCTGTAAACGAAGAATGCCTTTATTCGAAAAACATCGCCAAACATGTAAAAAGAGAAACTATGTGAGCGATAGAGAAAAACAGATGGTCGCGCGCATGTGAAGGTATGTACATATCTATAACATTGGGTATGACTGAAACTGGGCAGCTAATCAGATATCAGATATTTACTTTCTTGTTAAAGTTTTTGTTTTCAATCGATGAAAGGAAACGGTACGGTTCGGTGTATTTGAATGTCTGAGATGAAATATATAATCATGTATGACGTGTTTGATCGTTTAAAGCGTCAAACTTAATAGCATAGCAGATAAAATATATTTATTGCCACTGTTCTCAGAATCAGTAAATTTCACTAGTACATAGATTTTTTTGCAAGGTATTTATATACAGTGGAACCTCTCTATAGTGGACACCATTTGGACTGAGGCAAAGTGTGCACTATACAGAGGTGTCCACTTTATAGAGGTGTAGCTTTTTTGCAAAATCAATATACATATATGACTGAAATCGATATACTTCTGCATTACTACATAACTTTTCAAGAAAAAACGATCAATTAGAGCATTGATTTCTATGTTTTATTGTTTCATTGAGAATAAGCGTAACCGCTAACAAGAAAAAATGAATAAATAAATATAAAAAAACTCAACAAGAAGAGAAATAATCTTTAATAGAACTTTGTTTAGTTGCTTTTGAATCGAGGTATACATCAATTAATTGTGATTCCAGTTCTTATAAGGCATTGTGCAACTGAGGCTGTTCGTGTATTGCATAAAGATGAATTGTTTTCACCATTTCTAAGATTTCTGCTATATTGGGTAACTTTTTGGTAACGCTTGTTTCTTCTTCTTCGTTCTCATCTCCTTGAGAAATTTCAATCAGATCCTTCAAATGTACGTCGTCCTCCCATTCATTGAAAGCGGGAATTGATGAATCAATATCAACAAATTCAGCAGCTGTTAGCTGCTGACCATCAATTCGAACATGAGCCAGCAAAACTTCAAGATGTTCAAGTGAACCACCATGATTGACTAGTTGCAAACTTGTTTGATCAGCAATATCAATATCGATTGTTGATAAAGACGTTAATGACGAATCAATAAAACCAGCAGCTCGAAATCCACCTTGAATTGTGACATTCGTTACTGCTTTCCATGCTAAATCGATCCATTTAATTGCCTCTAAAACACTAATAGAAACTTGATCGATAGTTAGAGCGGTAGTACATTGAGAAATGATATGTCTGACTAATTTTTGTCGGTAATAACATTTGAATGATTTTATGACACCTTGATCTAATGGTTGACATTTGGAAGTAGTGTTTGGTGGAAAAAAGACTAATTTGACATTAGAAAAAGTTTCATCAACTATATGGCAAGGTGCATTGTCCAGAAATAGAATAATCTTACGAGCATTTCTTTTCATTCGATTATTAAGAGTAGCGAGCCAATTCGTAAACAATTTTAGATTCATCCAAGCTGTTCGATTTGCAAGCCAAGTAACTGGGAGATCAGATATATTGATGTTTTTTAAACACCGAGGACGTTGACTTCTTCCTAAAATCAAAAATAAATTAAGTAATTTTTAAATAAATCAGTAGGCATCTTACCAATCACCAATGGTTTCAGCTTCTCTGTTCCGCTCCAGTTAGAGCATAATAAAATCGTCAATCGTTCTTTACTTTTCTTTCCACCTTTACACTCCTCTTTTTTCAATACTAACGAACGATCTGGTAATGCACGATAAAATAAACCAGCCTCATCTGCATTAAAAATGTCATTTTTGTCGAATCCCTCAATTATTGTCAAAAGCCTTTTTGTCCATTCTTCGACTGTAGAATGATGCACAGAAGCACTTTCACCGGAAATTAATCGAAACGAAATAGCATGACGGGCGCAAAATTTTTCGAGCCAACCGTTTGAAGCTTTGAACTCATCTGGAAGATATCCCAACTGTTCAGCAAATTGTCTCGCTTTTTCTTGTAAGATTGGTCCGGAAATTGGAATGTTTTTAGAACGCTGTATCGTAAACCATTCGAACACCAGTTCGTCAATCTTTTGTCCATCATCATCTTTGTGTTTGCGGTTAATTCTTTTGTTGCAATTGGATCCGTAGTCCGATAAATATTCTTCTTTTCGACGAATGATATTGGCAGCACTACTCTTTGAGATTCCATAATCAATAGCGAGATCTCGGGTAGACTTTCCACCATTTTGATTATCCTTGATTAATGATATTTTATCTTCAAGAGTTAGCGTTTTTCGCTCAGACATGATACTGTTTATGATAAGAAAATACAACAAATGTGACAATATCATTGTCATTCGTCCCGTCTTTTTTCCTTCGTAATTGATGAAGCGGACGTTTCCTTTTTTCTAACACGTTTCTTAATTAATAAACACTATATATTACATGCTGACGTTTGATCGTTATTATCAAACATTTTTTGTCGGCTAAGAAAGTGTCCACTATGAGAGATTTCACTGTATCTGCCCAGTGTTAGGCATAGAGGTACCACAGTGATATACTTTGTTCTATCATGGATTGAGAAGTAGAAACTTTCATTCGAAAGTTTAGAATTGGCGTTTGATGTGCGATATGGTTTTAACTTCGGTAGAAACTGTAACAGTTTGATATTTGCCACTTTATGATCTTTACGGCAACAAATTCGCACCTACTACTGTGTCGTTATGATCTCCGTAGTCTATAACAATTTTCTATGCGGAAAGATTATGTCAAGATGTCCGTTTAGTTGATCACGCAAGTTCTGAGCATTTTCTAACAAAGACGTTTAACATCTATGATCAGTCTATATCTACATGTAGTTATGTTTTTTTCTCTTTCTGCTTAGCTATGTACTTGTACACGCATGATCTTACATTTGTTTGTCACTATCTATATGCAACAAACGCCATGAAGACTTCAACGAGACAAAATATGGTCTTTATATACACAATTTCTGCTTTCAGGGAATATTTTTTATACATGGAGTAAAATACTGAAACGAGAAATTACAAACGAATGGCGTTTATAGTTCTGTGCATTTGTTCGGGGCACTAACAATTTTCTTATCAACAATATGCACGAGTTCTTCAAAATAGTGTCGTGAACTGTTCCTACTCGCTTCGGCAAACATTTCTTTCACTTGTTGAGCTCTTCGAATGTATTCTTTCTGTCGATAAAACATATCTTTCAAATATCGACCAAGTTCGTCGCTCGATATGAATCTTTTATGGGAATTTTCTATCCAACGCCCCATTCCAAGCTCGTGTTCCAGACGATATCCGTTGAGTATTTGATCTCCAAATAGGGGCCAAACAAGTATAGGCGTTCCATTT